ACGGTTGGCAACACCATCAACCTGAAATATCAAAGTAAATGCCTTGCAAGTTGTCTGCAGATAGAAACCAACGGAACCTAATCTTGTGCAATTAACGTAATTTGTGTTTCTGGTCGGTGTTTACTAAAGAAAAAAAGCGTACATAATAGCTCGAGGTTTGTATATCAATAACAACTTATATATGTAGGAATCCCGGCTTGAGACCACAATTTTTAGGAATTTTGATAAAAGAATGGTTGCTTATTTTAGGTTAAATAAAAGAAAATTTGTTTAATGATGATTATGAAGTAATGTTCTTAATTGCTAAACTCGCTAAACTCGCAACTCTCAACTCACTGTTTTGTCTCTTTCACGGCTCGCTCACTCTGCTCTCACTGATGTCTCACCCTGTTCCCTTTGACTTCTCGACACTCACTGCCTTCCTTCCTCATCTGCACAAAAATTCATTCATACACACATACACACAAACGCATCCATACCCTTAGTGTCGCCGGGATGTACCTGCGCTAGACCCCCAGGTGGGTAATCCCGGGTTAAATGTTAGGCCTGGAGAGCTAGCTATAAACAATCCCAAGTCCCAGGCTTAACTTTCTCTACTGTTTATGGTACAGCACTTGGGACATCAATCGTCGGGCACTGGAGAGAAGTTTCGGGCCCTTTCCCAGAATTTGCCTATCTCACATATGTTTGCATTTCAATAATCATTTTGTCACTTATTGTATGTGATACAGTTTTGTGACTTTCAAGTTACAGTGGGCTATTATGGTAGATTTCGGTATATTTAGGATAATGCTTGTGCCTTCTATTTTCGGATTTATATATCATATATCCAAAATGTGGATACAAAATTACATAAAAATAAAAGAGGACTTAGAACTGGACGCATTAGCGGTAATAGATCCGAAGATTCTTTATTAGATTCTGAGTCCTGGATGAAGATCATCCAGTAGTATTTACCCGACGACGCATAAATATTATTGACAGTGACGATGAATTTAGTACTGAATCATCATCGGATGAGGAAAGTTCAGGACCACAAAAACAATTCAGAAGTTGTGAATAGTTTACAAAAAATAACATCTATTCTCGACAAATTGGTTAAAAACTTCAATCGCACTCCTGAACACCTTTGTGTTGACGAGCAAATAATACCAATTAAAAGAAGACACAGGCTAAAACAGTGTATGCCTAAAAAACCTAAAAAATGGGGCTGCAAAGGGCTGTTTTATGGAATTTCACGGTTCAAGCTTTTATGCACACGAGTGCAAACATTATAAGCCGTTGTTACTGTCAAAGTTACAAAGTGAATTAATTATGATAAAATTGTTTAAGCTGGTAAATTTTTTTTTAATCTGCATATACAGGTTTATAATTGTTGATTTTCCGCTGCGTAAATTTTTTTATATTTAAGAAAAAAAATTCGGCTCACAAAGGGTTAAATTTCGTACGAAACTGACCGTTTCTATCCTCGTTTTTAGCGACGTTATTGAAATTCTGTTTACATCAGGTAGGTGGAACGCGTTATACGCCACTTGGTACGTTCTTGCAAGTCGTGATTAACCCTCGCATAACGGTGGCTGGGTCTGCGGTGACCCGTTTGAAGTCCTACTTTGTGTGTGTCATACAAAGTTAGCCTGTACGATTATGATTTGGTGATAAATAATGGGATCATATTACGTTTCCGATAAGAAGTCAAATCGGTGATGAATGCACGTACGAGTCAGTTCTGAAGAAACAGTCATAGCGAATGGTCGGAAGTGTATTTCAGTATTTTTCATTAGTAGTATTCTTTAGTTTTGTAATATTTTTCATTTTTTTTGTATCCTTTAGGTTTTTTAGTATTTTTCATTTTTTATATTTTTCAGTCTTTTAGTGTTTTCCATTTTTTAAAACTTGAAACTTCCAAAACTTAAAACGATCGAGATGTTTTATTCGCATGGGCGATGACAACAAATATAACGCTAAATGTAGCAACTGTCACAATTTCGTTTGTAGCAAACATAAATGCAATCTAACGTATTAGATACAACGGAAATAAATAATATTATTTATAGGTAATAAAAGTAGCAAAAGGTGTTTTTATTTCCTACTATCCTATTGTTATAACAATCATAATAAAAATACAAAAAAAGAAATAAAATTGAACCAACGACTACACATAGGCGTTCCACTGGAACGTGTATGTATATATGTAGTCAGTAGTTTAGGTCTCGCGAGACCCGGCCACCGGCCAGTACGGCCCGTCATGCGAGGGTTAAGAGAAATTATGGTCCCTATTGGCCTGTGTACATACGTACAATAACCACTCTCTATATATAAACGAAAAACACCGGCGTTACTCGTTAAAACACCCGGCTTAAATCGCATCGTTTCAATAAGGAACAACCGTTTTCCGTTTTCGAGAAAACTACCTGCACACGATGCCCGTTGTTAAATGCTACCATAAATATACATAGTATGCATAGCGTCGTTTGTTCGTGAAATGCCATACTTTGGAAATTTATGAGGATATGAAAGGACCGATATATCCAACTTAGCCAGAGGTCTTTATCTGGGGACGAGAGGAAGAAAAAGCCTGGTTCCCTTACGAATTTAAGGTAAAGATGAACAAGATTTCCAACTGCTTCGGGCAATTTATCTTTGTCGCTGCAAGACCTTGGCAGAAAAGCTGCAGTGCTATAACGTACAAAGCCCCGGAAATTTTCCGTCCGCTTTTGTTTACGAGTAAATTTTATTGAGAAAAGCTGTGTACCTAGGTGGGACAATATAATTCTTTTCTTTCGATTTGAGAATAGTTACGATTTACAATATGTGTGTATATATATATATATATATATATATATATATATGTGTGTGTGTGTATGTATATGAAAAACAAATTAATACTATCGTCCTTAGCAACATATTCCGACGTTGTTTTTTTTTTTTTTTTTAAACAAGAGATTAGAAGACATATGTTCACATTGCTATTTTGTACGACAAAATTTATTTTTCTTACGCTTTTCAAATAAGTAAATAATTCTGTTACATTACGTATGTTATTTCTAGACTATTAGGTGTACATAAATGCCTAGTCTAGTTTCTGCGATTTACTTTGTACATTACGTATCAAACTTAAGTCGTTTTCTACATCTTATGGTCGTCCAGTACCGGGCAAGTCGAAAAAAAAATTTTTTACGATTGAAATTCACAAGTTTTTTCTTCTTCGTTTTTATATAAAAAAAGAATGTCTGAAATTAAAAAGAAAAGAGACATAGGACAGCGACTTTGAAAATGCTGCTCCACGTTTCAAGAAGAAAAAAAAAAGAAGATATTTTCAATTATTTTGCTTGCAGCTACATTTAAATAAAAGTTTTGTTCCATTTAGGTGTCTGTTTGTGAACATTATTAATTATATAGATTTTGAAATCTACTATTTAAGTAGGTGTCTTATATTGAGCAACAATTTTTGATATAACGACTTGTTTGTTTATGCGAATTATTAATCCTTGTGATAAAACTTGAAAAAAACGGTTTGCACTGTCTGAATAAACATCAGCTTTACTACAAATTTCTTCTTTTCTTTTCAAGTTTGATTTTTGTCAAGAATTGGCCAAGTTAAAGTAGAAAAACTCAGAGTGTCCGATTCTGCACAACTCTTCCCTATATATAGACGAATATAACAAATGAAATGCTTCATTGAACAATTAGAATCGCTTAACCACACCAACAGAAATTAACCTGTCTCTCAATCTTCGCTAAGAATTCACGATCAGTGTCTAGGCGCCAAATGCTCGACAACCGTTTGTCATTTTAATCGGTCACAGACGTAGAAGAGTTTCCTCGTCAGGATACGTTCAATTATATACCGCTAGTTTCTTGACACGTGTCAAAAAAAAAAAAAGAAAAAAAAAAAAAAGAAAGGAGGTGATAGAACACGAGTAACGTTGCTTCGTTAATGCGGAGTTTCACAATTCCGAATTGTGATCTTTCTGTTCTGATTACGATATCGACTACGATTTTCTCTTTTTAACTATTGCACGCCAGCACGTCCAGATAGAAATCTTGTTAGTCTGTACACCATCGTCTTAATCATATTTCTTACGCCGTTAATGCAACACGATAGGAACGGCACGCGCACTGCGAATTTAAAGTACGCTGGTACGTTATCGAGCAAATCTCGTTCGTTTGGCTCAATGCGTCACTTTCTTGCAAGAAACGTTTTTCTTCAAATCGAGATTCGATTATCATTATTTATTACATGTTTTTACTTTATGCTTTGTTGCTTCGAAAAAGTTTGTTTTTCTTTTTCTTTTTATAGAAAACTGTCGGATATAATAAACACGTTCATTTTTATCGTGTTTATACACGTTAAATAATGGTTATTTTAATTCAATGTGTTATTTCAATAGCAGAACATTTTCTTTCGAAGAAATTTAATTATTTGAAGTTACATTTGTTTAGAGGTAAACAAACAATTATAGTTTATCTGATACAGTCGTTCGTAACTGAAGTTCGAGTCAGAAATCTATCGTCTTGTTTCGATAACATTTACGAAAACTATTAGAAGAAATCCACCGGAACAAAAATAGACCGTGTAAAAATAAACGATACTTTCCGACGGGGGAACGGAAAGAAGCGTGGTTCGGTGGTTTGAAATTTCAAGTCCCCGTTACACGTATCGTAAGGTGACAAATTATTCTGCCAGTCTCCTCAAGATGGCCAAAAGTCAAAAAATTCATTGAAAAACAAGGACACTCGTTCTTTATCCTGATTCCGATTTGTTTAATTTACTACAGTCGATCTGGCCTGTTAACATGTTATGGCATGAAATGAAGAGAGACTTGTGTCAAAACAAGCGGAACCGAACAAAAACAAAAAATATAAAACCGATCAATGGTCCATAAACTCAGCTGAGAGGGAAAAGGATGCTTGTCACCCTGGCAGACGACGTGCTGGCCGCGTGCTCGACAAACACTATGAGATAAATGTACTTAAAAATATTCTATGACAATACTCACTAGCATTCGAAGGGACGGCTATTTTTCGATGAACTTCTGTATGAATAACACATTACTATCAACGATTCACTTCAAATTACATCGAGATAAAAAGAAAACTTCGACAAACCGCAGCCATACCGTATGGCAGCACTACGAAGACTGCCTCTATCAACCGAAACACGAACTAATATAAGTACATCCTCGAACAAAAGTTTCTACCTCATTGGTATAAACACATAGCCCCACCTTTCGACGTACCTGTACTTATGCGCTAGGCATAAAATTTTGATAATCGTGGTAATGATTTCTTAACATATATCAATTAATGCCAGTCATTTATTATAGCAACGAAAATAAAATTACTACAAATTTTATATACGTAACAAGTACATTATTTATTTTAGAAAATTTAATTGTACGTCAATGTGGTCAGTCTTTTACAATATTTTACGAGAAATCATTTCATTCTTTTAGCGTATTTGTCTTCTAATTCGTGCAATTTTGAATCAAGTTCTATCATGGAATATGTCTGAAATGTTTTTTTTTTAAATAAATAATTTTTATAAATAAAATTATACGACTTAAAAGATCACTTACCCTTTTTCTGACTGGTTTAAATGTTCCTTTAAGACTGTTCATTTCTTCCGTTTTCTGCAAGCAATTAAATTTGAAGAATTAGTGACATTAAATTTTTGTAAAATTTAATAACATTTCATTAAAGTTTTACCCAAACTTCTTTGTATTCGGGAGATATGCCTTCTAAATACAATATTCGATTTTCGATATTTTTAAGTCTTTCATATACATCTTTGGGAACGGGCCGATTTATTCCAAGAATTTTTTCAGTGGTTGATATTCTTTCATCTAATACAGATGAATAATTATTGTTTGTTTGGGTTGTTTCTGACGTCGTAGTTTTATATAAAGTACGTTGATCGACTGTTTGAGGTCCCCATGCATTGAGTACTCTATGCACTAAAAAAAATTTATGTTTAATAATTTTATTATTTATTAGTATAAGTGTCAATAATTTAATTTACCTTTAACATGACTTTTAGAATCTTTTCTCCTAATAAGAATAGCATCTACTCTTGCACATGAATTTTCATTCTCATCACTTTGATCTCTAAAATATAATTAAATTTAAATACTACAAAGCATTTAATATTATTCTTTTGTGAATGTTTCATTAACCAACCTGTGACTACAAAATTCTTGTACATTAACGATATTTACTTGCTGACGTTTTCTTTCAATGAAAGATAATATTCTGTGCTTCAATTCATCTGATGTAGCGCGAATTTGAACAAGATTGGGATCAATTACTTTAGATTCCTCTTCTTCTTTTTCTGTTTTTTCATCATCATAATCAGTTATTGTTTCATTTACAATATTTTCTGATTCTTCTATATCTATTATATCTTGAATTATAAGAAATAGCGTTATTAAAATATATAAAGAAAAAAAGACAGAATTGCAAAATGGGTTAATGATTGTAAAATTACACAATTAGAATTAATAATTTATTAACATTCTTATATATTTACTATAAAATTTATTTTAAAATTTTCAACAATTTCATAATATATATCAACTTAAATATAATATATATTAACTTCATACTGCTGAAGAAATGCATTTAAAATTTCGTAAAATTATGTAATTTTACTCAATGATTTCTTTATACTACAATTTTTGTCCTCTAAAATTAAAACTTCACATAACAATATAAAAATATTATTTACTGTTTGACCAGGCGCACTCCTTATTTTCCTTCCACTGACTTTCTTGTGTATCATATACTTCTTTCTTCCAAATTGGAACTGATGCTTTCAACGAATTGATAGCATATTCAACAGCTTTTAATGATTCTTCTCTATGAGGAGAGGAAATAGCAATTACTATACTTGCTTCTGATATTGGTACCTCTCCTAAGCGATGATATATAGCAATATGATGAACTTTCCATTGAGAACGAATTTTTGAACATATATTATTCATTTCTTTCAATGCCATTGGTTCATATGCTTCATATTCCAATTTTAAAACCTGGAAGTTATAAGCATTTGGATAAAAATATGATGTGATATGATATATCTTCACATTTGTAATTAAAATTTTAATAGATAAATACTTTTTTATTATCAAAATTATCCCGAGTAGTACCAATAAAATTTGATATAGCTCCACAATTAGGAGCTGTTACTAAACTAATTATGTGTCCAACATTTAGCTTTTCTTGTTGCAATTTGACAATATCTTTTGCAGTAGCCATTCTAACCTAAAAATGACATTCATATTATTAGACAGTGTAATATTAATTTATATGTTACGTAGTAGTTGAATAACATACTCATATTTGAAATGAAACAAACCTCCACTAAGTGGTGGAATAACAGCAATTTCGTCTGTTTCCGAAAATATTAATATTCTGTCTAAAGGAACAAATTCTTCATTCACTGCTAAAATTAGTATGTCACGAATGCTTTCTAGATTAAATTGATTTATTATTTTAACTAGTAAGTCAGTATATGATAGCTTTTGAGGAACGGTAATGTAACATTCTTTTCTTCCCGTTAATTCTCTAGCTTTGGCAAAAAATAAAACCTTCACTTGTATTTCAGTGACACTGTCACCCATTATAGAGCACACAAATAGAGTAGCAATGTAAATTCACAAAATGTTTCAACATCTTTATCATGAACATGTATAATTATCAAGATATCAAATCACTTGCGTAATTGAGTAATTATCCAAAGATAATACCTTTATTATCTCAGACTTGGAATAAGGTTATATTTTTCTTAAACTACATCACTAGTCAAACTAGCGTTTATGCGTGATATAAGAAGTACATTAAAAAATTTTAATTGTAAAATCAATGAAAAATTAATTAAATTAATAAATAAAAATAAATAAACATCTTATTTAATGTTCTTACTTAATATTTTTAAATGTATAAATACACATTTTAAATGTATAAATAAATTACACAGTTGACTGCGCTGTAAGCATACAATCTAAGTCATTTACTTTGAAGCGGTAGAATATAAAATAATTGAATACGTAATTGCGTATAGTCAAAATAAAAACACATTTCACGTTCAAATTACTATTTTTCATATAAAACAAAGCAATAGTATTGGCACACTGTATTTATATGTATTATAATTTCCAAAAAACTTCATAGGACGGAAGTATTCTATAGATCGACTTGAAGTACCTTGTATGATATTAAGGTCAACTAGAAATGAGGTCAACGTAGCAAGGAATCGTACTGTTCCGCTTGCATAATGTTCGATGCACGAAAACTAATATATTTGTTGAATTATTTCTAATACTCATATTCAGAAAACCTCTTGATCAGGGATTAATTATTACGTTGTATATTACGTTGTAAAAAATGTAATTATCTAAACATGATTAGAAGTTTCAAAATATATATATATATATGTGGAAATTTAATAATATCTTACAGATATTAGAAATGAGAAACTTCGTAAGATACACAAGTTGCATATTTTATAAGTAATGCATTTACAGCGGTATATGCCGATGTGTCAGTAAGCAATAGCCTTGGATAAACATTTAAATGTATGCATCGTGCGTGCAGCACAATGTGCGCTCACGCTTAAGTATAGATGGACAGCCTGCTAACCCGAAGTCTAAAAGAGTGCAGGGATCTAGCTCGTTCAGTCGAGTTGCTGTGGGACAAGGACAATACATTAAAGGAACTTATTCCTTTAAGTTAAGTAACACTCCTAAGTATCACAATCGGATATCACATAGTACGATAAACCGGTTATAGCAATTTATTTAGAGATGCCACCTCATCCAGGCGCTGGACATATGACGCAACAAGGGAAAAAATTCCATTAGTGTTACTTAATGTGATAACTTTTCTAAATGGCAAATTTTTGATCAATTTCGGATTAAAAAGATTATTGTTAAGGTTTCTTAAATAATTTCTAATAATTAATCTAATAAGAGAAAACGAAAAAGATAATTAGATTATATTGGATATATCGCGTAATCACTGCAATATGTATTTTACGCAGAAGTTTAGAATGAGTGGGTTTAACAACGAAATACACGTTGTTGTATGAGAGAGAAGTGCAATCGGGCGAGGTCGTACGGTGATTATACACTGACTAATGCTACTACTAGTCCCATCGCTCGAAAAATTCATGACAACATACGTATCATATGTAAGTACATAATCAGATCGGAGAGACAGTTGTGAGAGCCACACACCTGAGTAACAACCGATGTGTTCGCGCCTTTAATTCAAACAAATAGAAGTCAAATAGAAGTGTCAAGACACGAGAGACGCATAAAGTTGTTTATACAGGTGAAACAAAGATACCGAAATGCAGAATCGTTTGCGCACGAGTTTGGACGTAGTATGAATTATCAGGTGAAGATTTAATAGTACTGAGGAGCCACCTTGTGACTTGCAGACAACATTTTCAAATGAAGAATCGTACGATTCACGAATTGTCGCTCTTGTCGTCTCAACGATGAGCTGCATTCACAACTAGTAACAGCATTGCGACACACGACTGAGAGCTTCTACATAGTATGTATGTATATAATATTGTTCGCTCACGGATTTTTACGAGTAGTTTGTTATGTGAAATAAATTTTTTTATCTACGTAATTACATATCGTCTGGTATCACTGCAACTTCGAACTTTACTCCTCCTGATAGTGAATTGTTATAGTTGAAAAGAAAAAAAAAAAGAATGTGTTACTTTTGGAAAACAACTTTTTAAAGCGAATCGTTTTAAATACGATTCGCAGTGTGGCGACAATACCGTTTCAGTCGCGTGTGTACGTAATCGGTATTAGAAAACAATAACCACGAGTTTCAACGATGACTGCATTGTTTCTGTCCATTTCAAAAAATCTATTGTGCTGTAATGCGTTACTTTGATCGTACATATTGATAACACAATAACATTGTCAATCTTCTTTCGTCTAGATATGATAAAATGATCGTAGCTTTTTTAAATCAAATTATTAACACAGAATAACATAGAATAATAATAAGAATAACATAGAATAATAATAAGAATGATGAAATTTTTTAATTAACGTTTTTTGAAATTATTTTCTCTCGAACCATTTACTACAAAACTTAAGACGCAGAAAGAATCACATTTTTAAACACGTGATTCATTACAAACCAATAGGGCATACTATCTGCGTTCTTTCCTCAGATAAGACCCTTAAAAATACCTCTTTCTTCAGATATTAATTATATGCACAGATAAGAATGAATGCACGTACACTGCGTACACGTGTACGTGACATGTCCTATGATTTCACTTTCAAAGAAAAATTTCGACTGGCTAAAGATCCAATTATTTTAATAAAACTGCCGTTTTGAGTAGAAAATTCGAAAGTGTCCAATGGTAAACTTAAAACTTCATTATTATTCTCGATAATTAATCTAATTTAAATGATCAATATTGATATGTTACGAACCATGCGATAACATAGTACATTACTATTTATACTCGTTGATAAAAATTGATTTAAACATCGTGCACGATAAGCGACAACGTTCGTAGTTTTGAAATCATCGCTAGGAAATCAAATGCATCTTATTCACTTGCACATGAACTATGATGTCATACTGCAGTGCGCACCAACAAGATAAACGTCCTTGACAGGAAAAATATTTTTATGACATTAGACGGTTTTCTCTTAATAGGAACAATATCTATTAGAACGGCAGGCAAGAAGCATGAAATTCAAATTAATACTTTTACCATCGAACCACTTAAAGATACTTACAATAAATGCAACATGCGACGGTAAGTCACAGTCGTAACTGCATGACAGTTAGCAGTAAAAATCAATCGATAGCAATTCGTTCAGCCAACTCTGATTCACAATAGATCGGTCATGATGCGTATTAAAACCCATTAAATCGTTTATTACGAAATGTTAAATCGGTCAGACGAGCTTGTAAAGGTGGGAAAGAAATATAATAAATTATGTAATATAATGCTAAATTGTCACTGTCAGCGAAAAGAAGCGAAGATAGATTATATTAACGAGGGTACACTTTGAAATTGACGGGAAAAGTAACTGAGGCACGAGCATGCAAGTGCGTGTTTGTCGTAATGGTGGGATATGCATTTGATCGCAATATGGAAAGTGTACGCGCGAATGCATGTAAGGGCCCAAAAACAAGACGCCCCTGGTGTAGGTTGAATAGTACGTTCCTGCAGAACGGAGCCCGCGAGGGCTGGTGAGAAAAAGAGAGAGGCATACTGATCAAAGGTGGTACAAGAGCGAGGAGGACAGCGAGGGCGAGAGAGGAACGCGAGGGCCGAGGTATACCATCGAGTATCAACCAGCTGGTTGGCAAGGCAGCCGCGAGCAGTCGCCAGTGAGACGCGGTACCCCGCGAGGGCTTTCGTCGTTTGTTCGTTCGTCTATACGTGTGTCTATATGTCCGTCATCTCCCTTCCGCTTAAACCTATCGTGGTCGTGCGTACGTTCATTCGTTCGTCCGGTCCGTGTGTGGTGCGTCTCCCTTCGCCTGCTTTCAACGACACTTGCCACCGGTCGCGACTATCGTCTCTGTGTCAAAGTACATCTCTCTCTCGCTCCATCTCTCTCTCCTCGTTTCTCTTGGCGTGCCCGACTGAAAAGACAAGATGGCTGCCGATTCAGGAATGGAGACGTGTCCCTCCCCGGAGATTGCAGACTCCAGGAAACGGCCGCTCGATTGTGACGCGGAAAATGGCGCGACGAAGAGGTCTCATTACGGATCAGGTATTTTAATTGCACGTTGTCAATCATTTTTATCGATCGTGGCAAGCTAAGCTTCCCTACGCACCTTCGCTGATCTTCCTATACATATACCAATGATACAGTACATTCAAAATGATTTTCTCTCTCTCTCTCTCTCTCTCTCTATCTATCTATCTATCTATCTATCTCTCTCTCTCTCTCTCGTTTCTACTTCTTTTTCCCTAGTTTTCTCTTTCTGTTGCTTGCGATTCTTCTTACTCTCTTGCACGCTTTTGACAATCTTGTCGCTGGTGCTGCTGTTGACACAGCGATCGCTCGCTATAGCCCGTTCCCTTTCGTTTCCCACTTCGAAGCCTGGCGAACGTGTACACGGAGGCGAGAACGCGAACACGGTGCACCGCACAGCGGTTCGCGCATCCTCTCGTGCCACGTCTCCTTCTCCTTTTCCGTTTTCTCATCTCCTTTATTTTCCCTGTTTCTCTGCTATTTCCCTCGGTCTCGTATCGCAAACGCTAACTCGTAACGCGACACACCTGTAACGGTAATTTTACGCGTTGACGGTCATTTTATTATCGTCAACGTCAGCATTGTCACCACCGTTTTCGTCTTCGTTGTCACCTCCCCCTCCACCCTCTTTCTTTCTCTCTCTTTTTCTCTCTCTCTATCACGGTCAACATCGTCCTTATTTTCCTGCTCGTCTTCCTCAATTGTCTTCGTCTCCGTCACTATCGTTGATATCTTTGCTGTCATCGTGGCCGTCATCGTCGTCATTGTTCCTGCGTGGGCGATTGTGCCTGTGAACGTCGTTAATGGAGAATCGCTGCTGCGGTGGCTGTCGATCACGGTCCGTGACTCTGCAACTTCGTCCCTGTCGCGCCCGTTTCATCGGACATACAACCGCTAGGTTCGCGGCAAGACTCGTTGGAAGTGGCCTGTACCTCGTCCCGTTCGTACGCATATTGTGTACCTTTTCTCTGTTGCATTCCCGTAGTGCAGTGCCGCCGTTGTCGCGAAAGCGACGTACTAAGGAACGAACGCGCCTGCTGCCCGTTGAGCGGCAGTTACTAGGATGTGGCGTATCGGTGAGTTGTCAGGCACACCGTTCCGCTACCGAGGTTGCGGGTCAAGGTCGATACGAACCGAGTGAGCGCACAGGGCTTCCATCTGTCAAACAGCTGTTTGCCTTCAACGCATCGAAACTTTGTGTCATTCTGCATTGCACTTCCCTATTTCTTCGTTCACCAATTACGCGACACTTTTCTGAGGCTTGTACCCGTACGCTCGTTTGATATTGGTCTATCCGCATTCGCGTGCCCGTGAGTACGCATGATTTCGCATTTCGCCAATTTAGAAACCAATCAAAAACCGCATTTTACGAAGCTCAGAAATAACGTGTTAGTCGGTAGAAGAACGTGTTAGAAGTGTGCGAGAGCTTTCATGTTCGTGTTTCACTTTCCTCTAATTTTAATGTATTAGAAATTACATTATTATTTAACAAAAAAAACGTTTTAGATTTTTTCAATGTAAATCTATCCTTGTATGATGAGCATAATTTTTTATTAAATTGAGTAAATGTTTCAAAAGTTATAATTTTTATCCTGTATATTTTATTATGTATCAATTCGTAATTATGTGTTGATTCATAATTTATGTATTTTGATATTATTTTTGGTCCTATGAATATAATAATTATTTTATGTTTTACAGGGGGAGATGGAACATATCACCTCAAAGTATTGGTCCCTGGCGTGGCTGCTGGAGCAATCATTGGCAAAGGAGGAGATACAATTGCCCAATTACAGAAAGATACGGGAGCCAGGGTTAAAATGTCTAAATCCCATGATTTCTACCCAGGTAGATTGAGAACATTCGTTTATGGCCTATTTGTTAATAGAAGATGACATTATCTCCATATAATTTTATGTAATCTACAGGAACAACAGAGAGAGTGTGTTTAATTACTGGTAGTTTGGAAGCTATAATGGCAGTTATGGATTTTATTATGGACAAAATTCGTGAAAAACCAGATCTCACATTAAAGCCAACTGTTGACTTTGAATCTGGAAAGACTACTGCAGAAAGGGATAAACAGGTAAAAAGTTTAGTTTATGTATATAAACATATGTATTTTATGTTTCATGTACCAAAGTATCAATACATGCTATTTTTAGATATTGAACAAGTTTTGTCAGTAGTGACTTATTAAATGTTTTCAAAAAATATTCTTGTCACATGTATATTGGTTACAGTCAGGAAGAATAACATTTTTTCATTCACATGCAATGTTCAATATAATTTCAATTTTAGGTAAAAATTTTGGTACCTAACAGCACCGCAGGAATGATAATAGGTAAAGCTGGAAATTACATTAAGCAAATAAAAGAAGAATGTGGCTCGTATGTTCAAATAAGTCAGAAGGCAAAAGATGTGTCTTTACAAGAAAGGTGTATAACAGTAATAGGAGAAAAAGAGAATAACCGTAATGCGTTAATGATGATATTAGCAAAAGTGGCAGATGATCCACATAGTGGAACATGCCCAAATGTTAGCTATGCAGATGTTAGCGGTCCTGTAGCTAATTACAATCCCACGGGCAGTCCTTATGCTCAAGCACCTACAAGTACTCCCACATATACTTCTACGGCTGGTATTAATACAGGTAAGATTTCTAATAATTTAACAAATGTTTAATAATTACAAGACAAAATTACCAAATTATGGCTTACGTTTGTTCACAGTGAGTCTTTTGAATGGTGCTGGATTAAGCTTGAACTTGAATTTAGGAGCTGCAATTACAGCGGGTACAGCACCAGTGACAACGCAACTATTGGAGCATATAAAATTGAATTTACGAACGGCAGGTTTTTCCGAACCTGCTGCTAGTGAAATTTTGTCTGCTATCGCTACACTTGCTAAATATAATCTTCTCGGAATGGGAATTGGAATGCCTTCTAGTATGAGTTACCTTGGAAATCCTATGGATAGCACTACAACCGCGAATGGTTCGAATAATAATGGCGGCGTATTTGGGCCAATTGGAACAGTTCCTGCTCTCGGATCTACGTCTCCTACACCACGTAATACACTTGACAGATACGAGCCCTTTGACCCATTCAGACAAAACAACACAGCTGCCAGTGCTATTCATCTAAACAACAATTCGTTTGGCCTTGGCACTAACCAGTTATCACTTGTAAGTAAGAGTCCTACACAGGTAGACGCCAACAACAAGGAGACCAAGAAAGTAGACATAGAAATTGCAGAGGTTATAGTGGGAGCTATTCTGGGACCCGGTGGTCGTGCCCTCATTGAGATTCAGCACCTAAGTGGCGCCAACATACAAATCTCTAAGAAGGGCATGTTCGCTCCTGGTACCAGGAACCGCATAGTGACTATCACGGGTTATCCTAATGCAATCGGCACTGCTCAATATTTAATTGAGCAGAGGATCAGTGAAGAGGAAGCAAAACGAGCACGTCAAAATGCCCTCGCCAATATGATCCATTGATTTCAAGTACAGCACTTTTGTTCATCCCCATTATTGAGCTCCGTTATTCATCTTTTCACATCTTGAGATGATGATACGTACGGTAGCTCTTTCTTCCCTTCTTTAAACACTCGTCCACTACCACCTACCACCCGTTGTCATCTATCGCTACATCACTATAGCGCTTGCATTCTCACATCACTGTTCATACATCCATCATGGTTCGTCAACATTTATCTATCTTTTAAGATTATTATGATATATAAATATTATATGTTAAATGATAACTACTACAATTGTTCTGTGATACACCACGTTACGGGGCTTTATCACAAATAACACACGTACCACATCAGAGTCACATAATATATCTAGTTGTATATGGTATAGGATATTGAAAGAAGATATGATAAAATTATGATTACACTAGAAACGAAATGGCACAATTTGGCCATAGTTGTTCTTGAAATGTCAAGACGACGATGTTACATGGGTAATTGTTTCGTTTCATAAAGATAAATCTATTTTTTTTCCTTTTTTTTTTAAATATAGGAGCATAATCTTAGTACTAATGCGAGAGATATTTTTAGTTAGATGATCATACAGAACTCACAAATTGAATGACTTTGATCTGAGGAATTAATACCTTAATGTGTATTAAGCAAGTTAAATTATATTTATTTTCATAAAATGATGTTGCAAATTATTGTATTGAACTGTTCCTTGAACTATGAAATGATTAGACTGTTTGAGCGATTTACTCATGATTACCATGCTGTTTGAACAAGTTTTCTCAAGTGCAGAGTAATACCTTGGCAAAACCAAAGATCTTACATGTGTAAAGCAGAAATAACTTGGCTGGAAGATAAATATACATATAAAGGGAGAGCTATGTATAAACATATATTTATATATTTACAATGCTGGCTGGTCCAGTTAAATGAATAACATAATACTTTATTGCCAAGTTTTATTCTGAATCCCAAAGCCTTTGTTTCTCAAATTCTTCATAAAATTATATCTTATAGTATATTTAGATTAATGTTCCCAGAAGTACATGAACATCAAGTCTCATTCTTTCTCATTTCCTCCTAAGAACAGAGGATTCATTACACTAGGATAAGAATTACTCGATTTACTACTGAATCAAAACGATTCTCATAAAGATGCGTAATATTTTGGTATGATTGAAACGCATTGTACATTAAACTTCGTCTAATTGTTTTTAGTTTCAAGGTATATCGGTTGAATACAATTTGAATTAATATAACATATTTCATGACACACTTCGCAAAATAAAAGCTGTGACATAGATATTTTTGTCATTCCTTTATATTATAACAGCATGAATATAATTATTTTTGTCATATAGAAGTATTTATATTTATATACATTTCTTTTCAATAGTTAACTAGTAAAATATTTTTCGAAAGAAATATTCCATTAACTAGTGCTTTTGATTCTTTCCTATGCAATGACTAAGTACTCAGATGGAGATATAATAAATTAAGATTTATGTGAAAAGTGTTTGTCATGATCAGCAGTCATGTCATACATCCTTGGGTTCTGTATGATACTGCTTTATGTGGAATTCTATTTAAGCCAACCAAATCTTTGACAGGTTTTTAACAACTGCACATTGACACTGAATCAAATCTTTAGATAGGGAATGGATTTTAGCTAGAAACTTCGTTTATGTTGATAATGATTATCAATATTATAAGAGAAAGAGCAGACAGCTTATACTTCATTGCTAGATAAGAAAGAGGATCTACTAATAACAGACATTTCAAATCATTGTTTTTTGGGGGGGAGGGAGGGGTAGGTATTAGGAAAGGGTGATATAAGGGATAGGCGGTAATCAATAATGGGTTTAGTTAAAGTATCCGAAAATGTTAGCTGTAGCGTCAAATGAAATATATAAGTGTACATGAGTACAATTCATAGCTGGAGGCGCTGGCTCACCGCTCTTCAAAAATAACTTGTATATTCATAAATATTGCATAACATGAGTAATAATATATTACACACAGAGAGAGAAAAGAGTAAATATATATATTATATATTATATTATATATATAATATATATATGTATATAAGAGATGCATATATATATATACATGAAAAGTTTGAATTAGATTATTAAATAAAAGAGAATTCGTATTATCTAAAATATAAATGGCATATATGTGTATATTTATATGTATATATGTATACACATATATATTTTATATATATATACATATATAAATATAATATATAAAAGATATAATATAAGTAATGAAATGATATTATAAACATTGTTAACAAAATATTTGCGTCCGCGTACGTAAAACATGGTTTTATGTTTATTCATAAATTGTATGTGAACTATTATTGATTAAACTTCACTGTGTTGCCCAAATACATTAAAACAGAAGTCACAGATATGATGAAGATGCAAACTATTGTTAGATTGCTGTAGATAGATCTATTTGAAAAAAAAAATCTTTAATAGGACATATTACGAACGTCACGTGTACCATTAATTTAATTTATGAATCATTTTATTTTAATAGCCACTGGGCTACTAATATCAATGGCAGCATAATATCTCTCTATTGCATTCGCATGTGCAGTACTTTTTCTTCGCTAATTATATATATATATACATATATCATCACATTAGATATCTATTATTGAAGATTTCTTAATTTTATCCTATCATCACTTTCTTTCTATCTCTAGTTTATAATTTATATTTTTCTGACTGCCGGTAGGCAGGCATGTTCCAATTGATTTGGACAGGCCAAGATTTTCAAAGAAAAACAGATTTTACATCTTGTTCATTTATATATTCATTTGAATAATCGCGAGAAATCTAGTATTGCACTGAACTTGTACAAGTAGATGAAGCAAACAGATTTTACATTCGATTTTTTCCTCATAAGAGTTTTAATATATTTTGTGCTTGTTACAAGTAACATCGATCTTATTACAGTGAAGTGAAAAACAGATTCTTGAAATTCAGTCTCGTGAAATATCGAGTTTATTCTGATCATCGCCTCGTTTGAAAAAAACGAACATACATACTTGTTTATTTTAATATCTCATTACTAAAATTACAATGTTTTTAATATTATCGGTTACATCGCGTAACAATCAAGGTTATCAAGGTTCTTTATCTCATTTCTTAGAATCGAAATCAAAGTGCAGTTATCATTTTTCAGTTTCGATCAGAGGCCATACAGAGTACACGTACATCAGACTTGTAATATGCACATTTAACATTTTCGATGAAACGAAAGGGAGAAATAGGAAGAATATGGACACGAGTGAGTAAATCACTTTCAAGTAAGTCTCTATGACAAACAACTTGTAGGTAGCACAAGATAACTAGATTAGGTTACGGTTTTTCTCAGTAAACACATTCCTTAGTAGAACAGATTACGTATAATAAGGCTAGCTGTGATGGAGTTGTAAGAGAGCGAAAGAGAGAAAGAAAAAAGAATAGGGAGGGAGGGAGAGATAAATATATTTATCAGCTGCCAGTACGTGAAAATTGCCACGATACGATTGATATATAGTGTGTAAAATCATAGGATTTATTTGTGCAGGAAAAATAACTCAAGGCGAATAAAGGTTCATCGGCAAGGAGAAACGAAGAGACGGATCCATTTTATTCGGATGATAATGACGATGTTAAACGTGCAATTCTATCAGGATCGAATGTCGCAATATCCATTTTCCAATGTTATCGCTTGGAACGTTTGAGAAAAAAAAAAAAAAAGAAAAAAACGAAAAAAACAGAAAAAGTGCTCTAACTCTCCTTGCGTCATCGGGTAAGAAACGAAGCGATAAACGTGTTACAAACTATAGAGATCAGCCAGTTTACTATAAGTATTTTCTTTAGCGGTTTATATACATCTGTACAATATTAGTATTTTATAAATATCGTAAATGTTACGGGGCTATGGTTCGTGTATGTTCATCGGTTGAAAGATATATAACACAATAGGGGAGAGAAAAAAAAATACAATTTATTGTTCGATATATTGAATCGTAACCGTTATTACGATCGATGCATAAAATTCCACGGAGAAATACGTCCAACGGGGGAGGGGAAAAAAAAAAAGAAAAGAGTTATTCACATGCGTTTGTTCCGATTGTTTCATGTTGACAGATACTTTTATAGAGTTTACCTGTTGCATACTATTGTGTTAAATTTTATTGTCGCGTGTTGGACGATTGTTGCTTGAAAGAAAGATACGCAAATACCTCTTTGCTATGTGGCAAAAAAAAAAAAAGAAAAAAACAGTATTGGTTGGCCAGTCTATGTTACCTACGAGTTGTTTAATGAGAGGACATTGCTAGACTAATTAAGCCGGCAGTCGCCACACATTTAGGAGAATCTTATTTCACATGACGCTTTGTTTTGTACAGTTTGAGATATGTATATTTCATCTGATCATTCTCTAAGTAAAGGAAACAGAGAGAAAAAAAACAAAAAATGATAGACGGTAAAAGAGAAAAAAAAAAAAAAACGGCGCCAGAGAATGGTGGTTGTTGCGCGCCGTGAATAGTTGTACACGATTACTAAGTATAGATGTGTAGGTAGTGTCTTAAATCTCTTGTAAAAGTCGTCATTACAGGTTCAACGTTTTAATCAATAATCGATCGATAAAAGGAAAAAAAAAAAGAAATATTTACAGAAATGGGTTAAAAAGAAAAAAAAAAAAAGTATAATTATACTCTCGCACGTGGAGACGTAGTAGTGTAGTAATCAGGGAAAAACTGTAGGAATTGCATTGACTCGCCTCAATTCTAATATGAACTATTGTTACAGTAACTATAATTGAATTCGACACACGTCGCTACGATGGAGTGGCTTGCGTGTCACGTTACTTGGCTGTGTGTGCTAGGCTACATCGTAATTCATGTTCCATCATCCATCACTCCACTCGCACAGACTCCATTTACCTGTATAGAACGTATACAAAGAGGGGGGAATGAAAAGGGGGAATAAAAGAAGAGAGTAACGATGATTCGTCATTAATTACGTAAATTAATATTCCGATACAAAAATGTGAGAGATAGAGAAAGAAGAAAGAGAGAAAGAATAAAAGAAAAGAAGGAAGGAAGGAGAAAAAGAAAGAGAAGGAGAGAGAGAGAGAGAGAGAGAGAGGGAAAGAAGAAAGGATCGATACACACATTTGATACCAGAGAAAAAGCAAAAGTGAAAGAATTTTTTCGCACGACATTTACACACTCCACCCAATCACTTTAGTGCCATATTGATATCCCATCAGCCACACTTGTTGACGTTTTGACGGTAGAACGTGTTGTTAAAGATGTGTATATTCTGCGATTATGCAGACTGTTTTGAATAAAGTCGGAATACGTTTATTTCTCATTACACATATATTAAATCGTTACAAAGTATTACGGAACACACTTGTATATGCTTATTTAGTTTCCGCAGTGTACAAAGAATCGTTTTACAGTTGTCGAGGGATTTTAATGTCGATTATCAGAATGACGAGATAGAGCTTATATATATATATATCTATATATATATATAAAAATGTATTGATTGCAAACTCTAAGTTCGAACTTCTTGTTTTACAAATGATATACGCATATTTTACGAGGAAAACAAATTTTGTAAAAAATGCAACAGTTTCTTGATCGAGGAGCAATGCGTTTCGTCCCCAAATTCTTGTTGCAACCAGAGGAAAAGCCACTCTTTTTCTTTTTTCCCCTTATCGATATTTAACGTTAAATGCTGAACATTTGGTGTTGAAACGAGTGGTAAACGAAAAGTAAAAGATTGTCGAAGGTAAAAAGAAACAAAAAAAAAAAAAAAGAAGTTTCCCATTCGGATATTTTTGTAACGTAAATCGCTTTCCTTTCGAACCATTGTTTCGAAAGAAACGTTGCATTTGAACTCTTTAAAGAATGTTATATTCTCGAAAGATTCTTTTACTGCCACGTTTTGCAATCGTTCGCTATAATCAAACGTTTAAACGATAGAACAAATTAACAATATAGTCAAGGGAAATATAAGAAAGAAGAAAAAAAAATTGATGTAAAATGTAACGTTACATTAAGAAGTATGATAATATATTAAGAAATACGATAGTAGATGTCAAAGGAATGGTTTAAAAATGACACGATGAGGATGGAGAAATAATAATAATAATAATAATAATAATCGATTGCATTGCATTGATCGACAATAGAGCAGAGTTAATCGTAGATAAAAAGAGCGAAAAGAAAACAAAAAAAAAAAAAAACGAGCAATTGATTATCTTCAACAAATTGTCTCGAGCGTTTAACTTGTTCTTCGCCAGATGTTTCTGCTTTTGACGCTCTATTCTACATGAAATTTCCGAGTGCTGTGCGTTTTCCACACGGATTTACACAACAGTTACTAAAAACCTACAGAAATTAATTGATGCCGCGATATTTTTTTTGTTTTCTCTTCTTCGATTTTCATTGGAGCTTCGCCTTGTGTTTTTCTTTTCAATTCGCAGGATTTAAAATTTCACAATGCACTCGCACTGCACCGTGCATTGCAATGCTTGTTGAACGAGCAGAATGAGAAAGAGGTATACAGCATAAGAAAGGAAACAATACAAAGCGAGAAATAAAAAAAAAAAAAAAAAAAAATAACACATGGCTGTAAATATTTTATATAAAAGAAAAAAGATATATATAGAGAAAGAGAGAGATCTATCTATTATAGCGATACGCGTGGAATTAAACGAAAGAGGCTTTTATTTTTGTCTAGAAAAAAAAAATAAAAATAAAAGGGACGATAATCGAGATATAGCGAGACGAGAATTATAATTGGGCAAGTTCAAAGAAAAAAGAAAGAAGAAAAATATCCTGACGTTAGAGTCGATTTTAGTACATAGTATTTACCGTTAAAGTATTAAATATCGCGCCGATTGAATACGTAATACAAATTTCAATTGTTCAGCCCGCACTGTGTCTTTTTCTGCGTAAACGGACAGACGCTAAATTTGCAAATTTCCGATTCATCGTCGTACGATTGGAGGAAAAAAATAAAACATACCCCACATACGAAGCGAAGCGAAAGAATGAAAAAAAGAATGGAAAACACACAAGAAAAGTGAGGCTTTTTCTCCGCGTATATAGGAAAGTAAACAGGATGAAACGAGAGTGCAGTAGTGTATTCAAATTAGCAACGCATACCGATATCTCTAAAAAGAAAAAGAAAAAAAGAAAAGAAAAACAGGAATCTTCTCATCGCGGATTACCAAATATGTATGAGGAAAGGGAAAGATGTATCAGGATATCTAGAGACGCAGAGCGAATAGAAACCGTGGAAGAGTTTATCTGAAAAAGAAATTATTTAGAAAAGAATAAAAAAAAAAATTATATATATATATATATATAAATAGATAGAGAATAAAAAGAAGAAAAGCGAACAGAGGGAATAAGAGAGCATATTTAAACGACTAGAACGCTCTAGTTAACGTGTGTAATTAAGAGGGTTGTACAAAAGTGTAATGTAATGTTATTTTATTGGAAGCGAGACTTAGGGTTAGTTAATACACGGTATATTATTTTGGGTAAGCATATGTAAAGAAAAAAGAAAAAAAAAAAAACGATTAAAAAGAATATTGAAGAATAATAACGAAAGAACTTGGATGGAGATATCGTTATTGTTGAGGTAGAAGTAGCACATAGCAGCTCGGGGATTATAATGATGAATGAGGATGAGGATGAGGAATGAAAAAAAAAACTATTAAGTACCTTGTTGAATATAAGTAGATTAATAATCGCTAAGTCGCGAAGAAGAAAAAAAAAAAAAAATGATAGTGCACCGCAATGGTGCATGTGTGCACATTCGTATGTTCATTAACGACTTGTCATCATTACGTACATACATATACACACAGAGAGAGACACACATACCCATACGCATACATACGTACACGTACCAGAGGAACATTGTACACAATTGTATAATGCGAGAATAATGTTGCATGCCTATACACGCAAAAGAAAGAAAATTCAAACGAAAAAAGGAAAAAAAAAAAAAGAAAACGAAAAAAAAAAAGTATGAAAAATATAAATAATAGAGGGTTTCACGCGAAACGCAGTGCCGCGCGTTGTGCTTTATTAAGGATCGTATCCGAATTACGATACCGGTTACATTAGATGGAATAAATAGCATTATCTTCCACGAATATTTCGAATTTTCAAGAGCAGCTGGCTGCGAAAGAAAGAAAGGTACCATAGAGAGATTCGTTCGTCACTGATTGAAGTATCGTCACGATCACAAGTATTGTACCTTACATTCCTTTGGCTATAAAGTAATAGTAAGAACACGACGACCGTGTGCCTCGTGCGTTTCACAGATGCATATGTATCAGAATCGTTGAGAAATAAACGAGATAGATAGGGGAAGATAGAGGGAGAAAAGACGTAGTTAAATTGGCGTTTGATCGATTCGCATGATAGAGGAGAAGAGAAAAAAAAAAGAAAGAAAGAGAGAGATTCACTTCCGTTCGATTCGTCACGTACTTTGACCGACTAATTAATTAACGCACGTCTTACACGGTCATTCGTTTTGTTTCTTTTTTTTTTTTTTTTTTTTTTATTTTTAAACATCCCGCTTTTTTTTCTTGTTTGTTCACTTCGTTCAGGATATATATTAAAAAGAAAGAAAGAAAGAAAAAAAAAACGGTGCATAAAGAGAGCAGCGAACGAAATTGTATTTTTTAATATATATCTGTATGTATATATATATATATATATATGAGTGTATATATATATATTTATATATATATATTTTTTTTTCTTTTTTGAGGACTCGTCTCAGTGAAAGATGTTGCGCATGTCCGCAAGGAAAATAATTAAATTTAAACCGTCGGACGATTATTATGAAAGAGTATCTATAGCGTATTACTTTTGAGATGTAAGAGATTGTATATACATATATACGTGTGTATATGTATATATACATATATATATATATACATACCGATAGGCGAGCAAGACTTTCCGAACGGATAAGAAAAAAAAAAAAAAAAAAGATAAAGAAACTATAGGGCTGTTATAGTTATTGAGAAAAATCATCTAAGCGATATATTAGAAAAGGGATATGCACGTGTTTGGATACGTGTGTCGATGCGCATCGATTGTCCGTGAAATGGATTGTATAATTCGCGATCCATTCGCAACATTGTTTTGTCACAACTCTTTTTCCAAGAAAAAGAATAAGAAGAAGAAGAGAAAGTATACAAAAAGAATAGAAAAAAGGGAAAAAGTGAAGAAAACTCTTAGGGGAATGGTCGCGTGTAGTTGCTCTGCATTATGATAGTTGTGAAAGAGAACGAACAGGAAAATAATCTTACGACGAAACACTTGTCCCTGTGTTTTACGACTTCCTTCAAACAAACGAATGTTATATTGTATCGAGCACAAAAAGCTGCGTTACTTTTTTCTATAATTGTATCCTCGCGACAGAACGACTTTTTTTTCTTCGACTGTCACCTCTCGGATGACCTGAAATTAACGAAAAAAAA